ATGGGCTTTCACCCCTCTAGAGGTTCTTGCCCCTCTCAAGCTGTGGAGGCTACGTCATCGACAGGCGCCAGGGAAATACTGGGGGTCGAGGAGGCCCGGTGAGGGTTCTGTTTTTCTGAAATCAAAAACGCCCGCAATCTGCGCAGACTGCCGCTCACCTGGTTCACACCGCTTTCAGGTGCCCCTTGGCGTAGGCCCTATATGCGCTCTGCCAGGACTGTTGGGGCCGCTTTATGCCATCGGCAAGGGCTTTCCCTTCCCGGAGGCACAGCCTTACGCTTCTTGGCTCTGAAGTCACCGGCTTTTTTTTTTGCACGCTTCTCATTTCTAGTGGTCGGGGGCTCCACATGTGCCTCTTGAGAGCAACAACCCTGGAGCCTGAGCCCAAGCCCCTGACGTCCCACTCGAACCCACTCGAGTCTGAAGCTTGAGGCTGCAAATCGGGATTCGCTTTGCAAGCCACACTCGTCTGCAGGAGTGGTCCTGGCAGCGGAAGGTCTTCACGTGGCTCGGAGAGGCCCTGGCCGGCGACAGCCCGAAGTAGGCCGGGGCCGGGGCGGGGCCGGGGCCGGGCCTGGGTGCGGGGGGGGGCCAAAGGGGTTCGATCTTCAGGGAGAGTTCCAACATGTAGACAGTCTAAGGTCTGATTCTACCAGATAGGGCATGCTCCCGCTTTGGTTCATCGATTTTTGCTACGGCGGAAGACACACGTTGCTCTTTCTTGTGTTTAGTCTGCGTAGTCTGAATCCAAAAGAGAGCCATCGCGCGTGCGCGCGTGAGCGCGCGAAGCCTGGCAAATTGTAGAGCATGCCGTGCAAGCTGGCCCCCCGAGCACGCTAATATGTACAAGGCTTTGAAGAAAGGTAGCTCCACCTGGAGGACTTGCTGCCAAATTTGTGATAAAGTTGGGCCTTTACCCGTTCGGCTGGTGCTCAGTAGCAACTGCATGTGACGGGGCAAGATGCTTCAACTTCAAAGCACCTCGAATGATAAACCCAATTTGCTGGTCAAGGCACTCCAAACCCTTTAGATCAACTTCTCCCAAGTCCGTCACCTCACTTCTCAGACATTCTCAGACAACGTAACGTTGGTTTGGAGAGAGCTCAGAATCTGACAGTCTGCGAGAGGCTTCGGTGATTTGGAGCGGGGTAAGTCATGCCAATATAATGACCATCATCCTTTCCGAGGGCCTTGGCGCACCTCGTGGTTCGCTGGCATGTTCTGAGTGGCGAAAACAGCCGTGTTTGCACCTTGAAATTAGGTTGTTCGAGCTGCTGCTCAAGGCATAGGTTTTCTCCCGCAGTTTCTTATGACTGCAGTAGCATATTGCAGCATATCAGTAACATCCAAACTGCGACATGGCTTGCCATTGCCGTGCTCGATCATCCCAACTTCCTCAACCCCCACTCATCCCCTAGCCCGAAGCCACAAAAAGCGAGCAGAGTACCAGCCCTGCCCCTCACTCACCCGCCTCCCCCCGCCCCCCCCTTCCCTGTCTTCTTCACGAAGGGTTGACAGAGGAAGTCCGACCTAAGCACGGTGAGGATGGATTGCTTCAGGATGCAAGGAGTTCAATGTGGAGGGGTTTTGTTGCAGTTGTCATGGCACAACGCGGCGGAGCCACCGAAAGCTGAGCACAGAGAAATGGAGAGTCAACATTCGCAAGGAGGAGGGAAGCCGCATATACAGAGCCACAGCAAGTTCCTGGGCGCGTCAGAGATGGTATATGGCTTGAAAATGCTTGAAAGATGTAGAAACATGTAGACTCCAGCAAGACTTTGTGGCCACGTCATGTGGAGCCAAAGGGGCGCGATGGAGCAACGTGCTCTGACCGCTTACGCCCAGGCTGGGGCATTTGGCAGACTTGGGGTCTAGATGGGCTCGTGATTGGGGTGGGCTCGTGATTGGGCGGGTCCTCTTTTAGCAAGGGCTAGAGTTTGCAGATTCTCGGGTGTGCACATGTGCACAGGACCGTGTGCAGCGTGTCCCGAAGAGAGCCCTACAGAATCCGTTTTGCCTCTCCCGCATCCGGACTCCTCCCCTGCTAAGATCTGGGCGCTCTACGTCTTCTGCCCTTTCTTCGACCGCTTGCTGCTGGGCGTGGCCGGCGCGGTGGACGCCCGCCCTCTTGGCTACGCTGACGCAGCTTGACCGCGAAACGACAGGGGGAAGCGGGTGTCTTCGGGGAGTGCGGGGATTGCGGGAGCTCTATGCCTTTCTCCCCCTCTCCCTGTCTCTGCGTGCGTGCGTGCGTGCGTGGGTGGGTGGGTGGGTGGGTGGGTGGGTGGGTGGGTGGGTGTGATTGTTTTAGCGTGTGTCTCTGATTGCTGCGTATGCGGCAGGGCCGAGGGGGGAGGAACACGGAAGACATGGCTCCCTTGGCCAAGACAGCCTTTGCCTCCTTCTGCTTCTCTGTGATCTCTGTGAACCCTGTCGGAGTTGCTGGAGAGTACCATGGTGGCCACAAGAATCCTTCGCGATGCAACAGCATGCCTCGTGATGCATGTCCTCGCTGTCGCCAGTTGAAGCAGCATTTTAGCATCATGTCCGTGCGTCTCGCTGCTCAGAAGCAGCATGTGTGTGTGTGTGTGTGTGTGTGTGTGTGTGTGTGTGTCTGTGTGTGTGTGTGTGTGTGTCTCTCTGTCTGTGTGTGTGTGTGTCTGTCTGTCTGTCTGTCTGTCTGTGTGTCTGTGTGTCGTCTGTGTGTCTGTGTGTGTCTGTGTGTCTGTGGTCTGTGTGTGTGTGTCTGTCTGTGTGTCTGGTGTGTCTGTGTGTCTGTGTGTCTGTGTGTCTGTGTCTGTCTGTCTGTCTGTCTGTCTGTTGTCTGTCTGTCTGTCTGTCTGTGTCTGTCTGTCTGTGTGTGTGTGTGTGTGTGTGTGTGTCTGTGTGTCTGTGTGTGTTCTGTGTCTCTCTGTGTGTCTGTATGTGTCTGTGTGTGTCTGTGTGTGTCTGTGTGTGTGTGTGTCTCTGTGTGTGTCTCTGTGTGTGTCTCTGTGGTGTCTCTGTGTGTGTGTCTCTGTGTGTGTCTGTGTGTGTTCTCTGTGTGTGTGTGTGTGTGTGTGTGTGTGTGTGTGTGTGTGTGTGTGTGTGTGTGTGTGTGTGTCTGTGTGTGTGTGTGTGTGTGTGTGTGTGTCTCTGTGTTGTGTGTGTGTGTGTGTGTGTGGTGTGTGTGTGTGTGTCTGTGTGTGTGTGTGTGTGTGTGTGTGGTGTGGTCTCTGTGTGTGTGTCGTGTCTTGTGCGTGTCTCTGTGCGTGTCTCTGTGCGTGTCTCTGTGAGTGTCTCTGTGCGTGTCTCTGTGCGTGTCTCTGTGCGTGTCTCTGTGCGTGTCTCTGTGCGTGTCTCTGTGCGTGTCTCTGTGCGTGTCTCTGTGCGTGTCTCTGTGCGTGTCTCTGTGCGTGTCTCTGTGCGTGTCTCTGTGCGTGTCTCTGTGCGTGTCTCTGTGCGTGTCTCTGTGCGTGTCTCTGTGCGTGTCTCTGTGGGTGTCTCTGTGGGTGTCTCTGTGGGTGTCTCTGTGGGTGTCTCTGTGGGTGTCTCTGTGTCTGTCTCTGTGTCTGTCTCTGTGTCTGTCTCTGTGGGTGTCTCTGTGTCTGTCTCTGTGTCTGTCTCTGTGTCTGTCTCTGTGTCTGTCTCTGTGTCTGTCTCTGTGTCTGTCTCTGTGTCTGTCTCTGTGTCTGTCTCTGTGTCTGTCTCTGTGTCTGTCTCTGTGTCTGTCTCTGTGCGTGTCTGCGTGTCTGCGTGTCTGCGTGTCTGCGTGTCTGCGTGTCTTCGTGTCTGCGTGTCTGCGTGTCTGCGAGTCTGCGTGTCTGCGTGTGCGCGTGTGCGCGTGTGCGCGTGTGGGCGTGTGCGCGTGTGCCCGTGTGCGCGTGTGCGCGTGTGCGCGTGTGCGCGTGTGCGCGTGTGCGAGGGTGCGCGTGTGTGCGTGTGCGCGTGTGCGTGTGCGTGTGTGTGCGCGCGCAGTTTTGCAGCATTCATGCCGTTCGCATCATCAATCTGTGAAGCATCTTTCTTCCGGAGCATGTGCATCATTGCTTGCACCTGCAAATGCAAACGTTCGCATGAAACTCCACTCATCCCTCATAGACTTCGAACTGCTCTTCCTGTTCTACCGCGTGTTCTCTTTTCATGTTTCAGAGGGTGCAACGCAATTCCGTGGGTCATGGTGTCTTCACCTTGTGGTTCAGGCTGTTACTACTGGTGTGTTACTACTGGTGGAGCATCAATGTTCTGTCTGTGTGCGTGTGTTTTTGGGGTAGCCACTTGCTCCGTGGGCCATTGCTCGGCATAATCTCACACAGAGATAACTAGAGCAAAGAAGCTCGGCGCGCGCCGAGCTTCTTGGAATTGCAGCTTTCATTGCAGCATTCATGCCGCCCTTGCGGCCTGAATGAGCCTGAATGAGAGAATGAGTGATAGAGAGGGAAAACAGGCGAAGTGAAGCACGGTTGCTGCACACGCGATGAGCATCGGCGCAACGCTTTCAAGGAACGATCTTGTTTCCCTAAACTCTAAACTAGCGTGCTGTTTGCGCCCCCACGTGCGCAATTCCCATTTGTCCCACTCTATCCTATACTCGGCAGCTCGACTCTCCGACTCTTCGAGCTGAGCTACGCTCCTGTCCCTCTCTCCGCTGCTCTCCTGCCTGGGTGTGTAAGATGTGCCTCTTTTGCGTCGACTGCGGGTCCAATATGGGGGCTTTGAGAGAACCCTCTCAGCCCCATTCTCTGACACTTTGCGCCTTCTTTTGCTTTGCGCCTTTTGCTTGTCGCCTTTTGCTCCTTTCTTGAGCTCGCCGGTGACAGCGACCCTCAATTCTTCCATTTACACACGAGGCCCAGCGCAAGCAAGCAATGAGAAATATCGCGCAGAGACTGCCGAATCCCAAGAAAGCACATGAGGATCAGAAGCCATGAGAAGAGTATCTCTAGAGCCCAAAGCCCAAAGCCCAACTCAGGTAGTGCTCCTGCCCCTGGCGGCATTGGCAGTGCTGCTAGAAGATCGCAATGGCCTTCTGGCGTTGGTTCTGGCACACGGCGTGGCCCGGTGATTTTCGGGAGGATGCCAAAAGGCTTTTGGGGTGTTCTGGAAAGAGAACACACCCTCTGACTCCACAATTCAGTGAGCGCACCCGACAGGAACTTACCTGGAACTTGCCTCGTTGGGCCCAAGGTGAAGCTGGCCACGTTCGTACATCGTATGCCGCTGGTGTGGGATGCCTGGCTTGCAGACCAAGGGCCCGTTGGGGGAAAAACGCCGTGTAGGGTTCTTGTTTCGATGCGGGTTCTAACGTACAGCCAGAGTCCCCATGGTGATCCGAGGATCACGAATGCTGGGCAGCAGCCACCGAGGTGTCGTTCGTGACTTGGCAAAAGAGGGTTACTTTCCGGACCCGCCGCGCTCATAAAGCCTGACATGACCCACTTGACCATAGGCAATAGGTTCTAAAACTGTACGCCTTTGAAGCCAACCCTCAAACCAAACACAACAAGGTCCAAGCTCAACCTTGCCGGCCATCGCACACAAGGTCTTCAGCCATGAAGATCCCAATTGCCTGCCTTGTCAAGTTCCTGTTGTCTTCATACAGTCCTGCAATTGTCGGAAATAATAAGATCGTTCCCGAGCTCCTACGTCCGGAAGCCAAAACGCTCGTGATCTTGGGGCATCCGACTGAAACCTTGCTCTCAATCTTGGAGTGGGGATTTCTGAAGCGAAGCTGGTTTTAAAGCCCTAGCCGCCTTCTCTCCCGAACACAACCTTATACTGAGGTTGTCGCAGCTGCCGGGGGCGCGGACAGCCTGGCCCAAAGATTTTGGCCAGCGGCAAGGGCACAGCTCTTGTTGCTTTATGCATCTTGCCTCGTCTTGCCTCCTAACACTTTCTCATTCGGATTCTAGTGGGGCCGTGTAGGGCCTTGTGTTGGGGGGGGGGGGGGGGGGGGGGGGGCGGTCAGAGACGAAAGCTCCTCCGTTCACGAAGTGCTGCCTTTGGAGCCGGCTCTGCTTCCAGCTGACGTTTGAGTTGCGGAGGTGTTCAGGTTGGGTCAGAAAATGACCCGGCAATGTCTGTGGTGGTTGGGCTGTCTCTTTCCCCAAGCAAGAACACGATGGCGGAACACGGGCGCCCAGCAAACTTTATCCGAAAGGCTCATGTTGGCTGGAATGGTCGTGTATGACATAAGTCAAGCAGTGTGCCGCAACCATCCGCAACCCTGCACATCCCGGGATGTCCCTTGAACGTAGCCTGAACTGCTGAGGCAGCCGCAGCCTTCTGGAAGTTGAACACCTCCTTCCTGGATTACCGGACTTCCTGCGGCACGGCCCGCAGGCCGCACGAAAGGCTTGAGTTGGGCAATGGGGCTGAAGAGATGTCGGATTTCGGATGTTTTGGGCTGATGATAGTCATGAGGGAGCCATTGATTGTGGCATGTCACTGCTTTTTCAGGTCATTCTGACCCAAGTCTTCGCAGCCTACGCGCCGCCTGCGGCTGCCGACCTGGCGCCAATGGTTGCCAGGTGGGATGTCGGAAGGATGCGACGGCAGCGCAAACCTCAACTATACACCGTCCCTCAATCTTCTAACATTCAATTGCGTCAGTCAGCCGCCGCGAAGGGGTGAGAGCGCTGACTGGACATGCACACAGGCTAGCCCCCTTTGCCGCCTTCGGGGGTGAAGCATCTTGGCTGCAACCTTTCCAAAGGAAGACCTTCGCAGCTGCCAAAACAACTGCTTCTGACAATTATCCTAGGCAGTGCTTCCGCTAGCTCTGGGCCTGGTGCCTCGTGTGGGGGCTGCTTGGCATGCAGCGTGGGAAAGAAGGCAGTTGCTATATCGCAGTCTATTTCCAAGGAAGCGCTCATGCAAGCAACTCCGTACGCACAGCACGTAGAACATGGTTTCGCGTCTTAAGTTTCATACAAGCGCCCCTTCCGCAACACAAGCGCTTACCAAGACATCTCCTCAGCAGGGGTTCTCAAATGCAGTTCCTCAAATGCAGTTTACAAAACCTCTAAAGCCAGAAACTCCATCCTGCTTTGACATCCGGAGCACTTCAACCACTCTGAGAGCACCGCCTTCGACGTCCTTTCCGTTTAGGTAGAGGTGGCAAAGATCAAGATGAGAGTGTGAGGGAGGCCAGAGCAGCCAGAGACATGGGTGCGGGAAGCCGCAACTTGAGAAGTTTCTCCACCTTTTCGGGCCGCACTTCAGAAGCCTTGTATTGGAAGCATTTGGAAGCACCAGCTGTGAATTTCGCCACCTTAAAATGACCGACATGTGCTTGCACGCCGAAGCCAGTATACGCACTTCAGTACTTCAGTTTGTATGCACGGTACCACGTGGACGACTTCTCAGTTGAGAAGACATTCAGTTTGCCTTCAACAGACTGCTCAAGTGCAAGTGTCGCTGTCCCAGCAAATCAAAGGCTCCTCCGAAATTTTGCAAAGCCAAGCGGAAGCTTTAAGCGAATACAGCTGAGAATCCGCCGCGCTCCAATGTACTTTCTTGCAAAAAGGCGTGAATTCGTGGATGTCGACATGGTCACGAACTCAGCGCGCAAATGAAATTGCCAAGGAACTATATGTTGTCCAAGCGTCGTACACGAACAGTGAGAACGAGCTCCGCCTGCCCACTGCAAATGCTCCAGCCTCGTTCGCCAGCTTCAGCCGCCAACGACGCCTCGAGAACGAGTGAGGCCCTGTTTAACTGAGCTGAAGCCATGCAGCGGCGAGAAATACCGAAAAGGGCGCGTGCGTTGCCAGGATGCCTGTGGCCCACTCTGTCAGGCAAGCAGTCTGCTCGGTTGCGATCCGAAGACTCCAAGAAACAAGATGCGCACCTGCCCTGTCAGCAACGCGTGTCTGCAATATGGCAAACTGAAACACATGGCCACACAGGCGTGTGCAATCAGAGACCTTGTCCTGGTCAACAGTCGATGTGAGGAGGTAGCCTTAAAGTTTCGCACCATTTCGCACCATTGTCAGTAGCTGTTGTGAAGGTGGCGGAGCTTTTGCTTCGCACATCTCTGAGCCCCTCCACACATACTTCATCAGGCAAGGTGTCCCACTGTCAAGCAAAGTCTTCTGTGACCCCAGGTTTTCCTGGCGCTGCTTTTTCACCTCCTTGCGGCTTGAGTGCAGGCTAGCTCGGTGTCTGATGGTTGCAGGTGCCAAATGGTGCCAAAGTGCTAGAATCCAACCTCTAAAGAACTCTGGGGAGCACTCTGAGCGATACTCCGCTACTCTCAGACGGTTTTCGACTCTGAGCTGAGGTGGTGCTGGCACCCGCACCCAACTTTGCCGGAGGCTTCCGCCAGAACATCATCCTCCCAAAGCTCATCTTTTCTGACCCTCACGAGTCTTGCGCGTCCTTAACCCCAGTGCCACCGAGCAGAGTATCGGTTCCCTGCAGCCCATGAAGTGTTGTATAGTGTTGTGTCTTGTGCGAAGAGAACGTTTTTCGGAAAGGCTTTTCCGTGACTTGCGCATCGCGCCTTCTCCTTTGCCTTCCTTGGGAGGCCTGGAAGGGGAGCCTCTTTTTGGGTTTCTCAGGACTTGGTAGTCATGCCTACTGAGTTACTTGCGGGCTGGGGGTGTTGAAATTTCTGTTGTGGCAGTTCGATCAGCCAGCGAGCAGCGAATGAGTGGATTGGAGGTTCCCTCTTGCTTTTCCCACCGCCTCTCCTGAGTTCTGTCGAGTGTCCCTTGAGGAAGATAAAATGGCTGATTCTTTATGTCGTGACTGTGAGTGCCTGAGACTGCGGGTTAGCTTGTCGTCGCTCCAGCCTGAAGTTTCGGAGCTCTCAAAAGTCGGCTTCTTGGCCTGACACCCCCGAACGCGAGCCCACACTGCCAAAACACCTTGGAACTCCTCAGTGTTCTACACACATCGTCTACTCTGGGCAAGCATATGCCATGACCAGGCGCGCGTAAAACATCTCGAGTCTGCCTTCCTTGCAACATGTTGACTCTGAGAGCGGCCAGGAGGTTGTTTCAAGACTCCCCGGTGCCGGTGGGAACTTTAAAAACAACAAGGTGTTCGCAAGGAAAGTGCCCATTGAGGAATCCCGCTTGCAAAGCTTGATCTTCTGTTCCGACTCAGCCGACGCCGTGCGGTGCGTTTGGAGTGAGAGGCGTCATCTCATCTTCGTGACGTGAAGAGCTTTTGGTTGGAACGGCTCTCCATTGTCCCCCTTAGCGACCCGTCAAAAACCAACCGGTGCGCACCCTCCACGTGTTTCTCAACAAAAACAACATCTCTCTCTCTCTCTCTCTCTGTCTTTTTTTTTTCTTTTCTCTTTCTCTCTTTCTCTCAGAAAAACAAAGCTGAGAGGCTGCCGCTTGCGGCCGCGTTTCGGCCTTGGCGGTGCTCGGCGCGGCGCTTGCCGCCAGCCTCATTCGAAGCCCCTCGGGGGCCACAGATGTCTTCGCTGCGCTTTGTCGGGTCATGTGGCTGTCCACACGCCCCTTCTCAACTGCGTGTTGTGCTCTGTTTTTTTTTTTATGAGCACCCTATATGTTCCCATGTGTTCCTGCGTCCTCCCATGATGCTGCAGAGGCGCGGCCTTCGCGATCTTTGTCATGATGTTTCTGATGACTGGCGTCTTGCCTGCAACTGCTCGGAGTCCAGGCACGCTGGGATGTTACAAGCACGGTGCGTGTCAAAGCTGTGTGTTGCCTGATACGTCGCCAGACACCGAGGCAAGTCATCGCCTCTTGTAGAGCAAACGCTAGTATACTCAAACGCGTACATATTGTAACAACACATGTCATATAAACAATGGGAAGACAAATTTTCAGATATGCTTCCATACATCTATCTGCATACAACATATACGTAGACGCAGACGTAGACGTATACATATACATGTACACATACACATACACATACACATACATAGACATGCATGTATACAAGGTACACAGAGGTACATGTACATATATACATGTATAGATACATGTATATATGTGTATATGTATATATATATATACATATGTATGTATGTATACGTATGTATGTATATGTATACGTATACGTATATGTCTATGTGTATGTGCATGTGCATGTGCATGTGCATGTGCATGTGCATGTGCATGTGCATGTGCATGTGCATGTGCATGTGTGTGTGTGCGCGCGCATGGGTCTTGGTTGACATTCTTGGACATGTTTGGTTTTTGCTAACTCTGCAACGCGGTGTTGTCTAAGTCTTACCTCATGGTTGCCCCCTCTTTTCTTCACACTGCCTAGGCTCAGCCATCTTGGCCGCGGACAAAGGCACACTGCTTCTGTCAAGACGCTTCTAGACCTCAGTAGAAGCCTCTTTAAGTTTACTAGTTTCAAGACGGCGTGCAAATACTAAGTAGGAAGAGTGTAGGAAGTGTCAAATGAACATAGAGACTACATATATAAGGATATAGGAACACCCCGCGATTCAGCATCATGAAAACAAGAACTTTCATGACTGGGTGCAAGTGGCATGATTCATCACACCTGGTAGACTCCACTTATGCGGGCTGAGGATTTTGGGCCAGTGTGGAGGTATGTGGGCACAGATGGAGATCTCTTTAGGCCCATGTGAGTGGTGAGTGGCCCAAGGATCCAAGGGGCTTCGGAGAAGGGAATGAAAGGAATCAGCAGTTTCCAGCCATCCCAAGTCCTCCAAACCCCGGCAAAAGCCATGCGAAGGGTCTTCCGCTGGCTCAAAGTCAACTTTGACCTGGCCTTGTGCACTGGCCACCTTCGTGTGGCCGGGCTCGACGTTTGGGATGTTTGGGACGTTGGGTGGATTCTTAGGGTTCAGCATGAAAGATATCTCTCGGCCGTGGACCTGTTCTCCTGCTGTCGCCGTGGCGTTGCTACTACATTATCCGTGGGTATCGAAGGCTCGCCTTGAAAGCAGTGCCTGTAGCCCTGCCACTTCCCTGTCACTTCGCAAACTTGCAGGAAGAAGAACCCGTGTCAACTAGTTTGGCAACAACACCGCGACTTCTCATCGGTCAGAATCATACCTCTCGTCGAAGTGAGAACTGCACGTACGAAGTAGCAAACCTGGATTGAGGCCAAGGTTCTGTGGCTGAACATGCAACTGCAACTGTCGTTCGACAAGTCTTTCAACCAGGTGCAACTGGAAAGTTAGCCAGAAAGGGCAACCTTTCTTCGGCTACCACGGCTGCTAGAACTCCGAATCGGCAAATCTGTCAAGCACGGACACTGCTAGCTCTGCTTGGTGTCGTTTATTGCATGTCGCCTCCTTAGCCCAAGCTAGCTCAAAACAAACATGGCTTTCACTGAAAATCGCTTACAGGATCTACGGGCTTACAGTAATTACAGTAGTTTCGTTGCAGCTTTCAACACCAATACGGATGGGTTAGACTTTGTCTTTTCAACTGGACAAGTAGCACATGCTACGCGTTTGGTGACGTCGTGGGAAGAAAAGATGTTTGCCTTAAATCCCTTGCATTGGGCCAGCCAGATGCAGTGGACTCCAGGTTATTTTCACAACCCCTAGAGGGCTCTCCATTTCTCATCGCAGTCAAAAACACCACAAGTACCTTAAAAGTCAGTGCATTTGTTCATTTCGAAGGTATGCCATCGGCTTTCCTGTGCTGGGCCTTCAGCACATGGTGGCTCGTCTCGGGTGCTCGAGCAGGGCTCATGTGCATCTGGCCACGAAGTGCCAAGACCTACATGCGGCCCTGTGTTTACTATTTTCCCGGAAGAGGATTCCAACTTGCCCTGAAAAGAAACGCAGCCTGCAACACATGGAAGTGCATGAAGGGCACACGCACACACATGCACGCTCAAACTCTCAAGCCCCTTGCCCCAGGCCTCGTGCTCCATGTATGCCAACTTGAAGCACTACGGAGGCTCCAACCATCTGCTGGTACCTACTGGGCTACTGCAGGCACGAATCTGTTGGCCTCCGTGGATCCTTTGGTTTGGGAGGGGGAGGGCGGGCGGGGTGCTTTTTCCAGGGAGTTGGATCACTCTAACAGCTCCTGACAGAATATTTCAGAATGCTTCTCCTGCCTGTGCTTGTAAGTCTTTCACCAGGACGCTTTCCCTGCGACCTTCGGAAGCGAGCTGCTCCGGGTCGACGAGGCCAAGCGGGAACTTCGCCTTGGGCGTTGAGATGCGTTGAGTGCTAATCGGTCGCTCGTGACGATCGTTCTCTGCACGCGAGTCCAAGGCTTTGCAGAATCATGGATCATGGGCAAAACGCCACCTCCAACTTTCAGTTTTCCACGCAGTTGACATCCAGGAATTTAGGCATGGTGCTTGGCTCCTGCCATCAGGGCCGGGGGGGGCCGCAAAACACAAATTACAAAATGAATGCGCTCTGTGCGTGTGTTTCCCAAAAGACCAAACATCTGCATTCGCATAGAGGCATCTGTTTGGCGGGTGGGAACTTCAGAAATGACAAATCCAGCAGGGCGAGTACTCGTGCTACGACCGCAACACCAAACGGCGGGTAGGCAGAGGACCCTGCATGTCACATCGGGGATTGCCCTTGGCAGTGCGCAAAGAGATTGCCAAGCTGGGCTGAGGCTGCGGGGCTGCTTGCGGCTCAGCGACCCCGCGAGTATTTCAGAGGGTGCGCCATTTCGTTAAGGGCACGAATCCGAAGAAGAGGGGACGAAGGCTGCAGATGGCTGCCGGTGTTCCCCGGGGGGGGGGAGGGGTTGCGCCGATTTTTGTGAGACGTCTTCTGGCGTTGCCTTGTCCATCGTTGTTTTTGTAACATTGTTTTAACAATCTGCCTAAGCATCCAGACAAGGAATGTGTGGACGGAGATTGAACCGGAGCTTGCCACCAATTTCCTGCGGGCTGCAAACCACAGCGGAAGGCCTGCCATGCCGCCAAAAGGCAATTCGGTCTTCAGCATAACTGGGACGTGTACGGTTCAATGTTTTCCTCAAGTTGGAGTGCCCACTTGCCTGACGACACCAGACCTAAACTACTGAACCTGGCCGACTTGAGGGAAAAGGCACTCCGTCGTGACGCCCTAAAGATTCCCTGTGGCCCTGCTTCACAATCGAAACGATTTGCGCCAACTCCCAAGCACCTAACCATGTAGCATCCTTGCGCCCAGGGTCCGTAGCCGGACTGGGCCGCGAATTTCGGAACATGCCCTATACCAACAATACTTAAGGTCAGAATTTTTGGTAGGGTGTAGATCGGTGATCGTTAGGATTTCGGCGTGGGGTGTCCATGGGTGTCCGTGGGTGTCCTTAGTTGTGCAGGCAGTTTGTGCCGTACTATGCCCGCATGGGCTCCCTGGATGCTGCCGGGGTGTCTCGGTCCGTGGTCGAGAACATTCTGATAATTGGCATGGCGAGGAGTCAGTGTGACCGTTGTTGGAGGCCTCTTCAGAGAGGTCTTCGCCAGGCATAGAGAAAAGTGGAGACAGCGTGTGGAGGAAGCCCTGAGTCTTTCGCCCAGGTGGCCTTAGAGGAGAAGAACGCGGCACTGCCAGTGCCCGCCCAAGACGTCTCCTGTCTCTCTCTCTCTCTCTCTCTCACTGTTTTTTTCCCCCCCTCCCTCCCTCCCTCCCTCCCTCCCTCCCCTCAATTCTCCCCTCCCTCCCTCCCTCTCCCTCCCTCGCTCTCTCTTTTGGTGGCCACAAATTCTGTCGTTGAGAACGGTGAGGTGGTGATGCCGGCCTTCGAGCTGCGCCGCGCCCTGGCGCAGCTGCGCCGCCTCGGGCTCCCGGGCTCCGTCCGCTACGCCACTTGCTCCGATCCTCTCTCTCTCTCTCTCTCTCTCTCTCTCTCTCTCTCTCTCAATTGAGGGTTAGAGAGGCGTAGGGGAGAGAGAGTGTGTGTGGGTCGGTAGGTAGGTAGGTAGGTAGGTAGGTCGGTAGAGGTGTCTGTGTGTGGGTGTTTGTTCCACTCCAGGGTTTTCGGGGTGAGCAAAAGACCCGCCGAGCCTTCAGCATGTTTCGATGTCCAGGCTTTTGAAAGGTTTTGGAGGTGTTGCTCCTGCTGCGGGTTGGGAACTCAAACCAGGTTTGCCTGCACTGGTCAGGAGTGTGCCGCATTGTTCCCTCCCCACGACACACAGCCGGAAGCTTCCAGATGTGTCCTAGGACAGATAGGACAGCAATCGGCTTGGAACAGCTTTTTACAAGTACGAGGGTGTTTTGGGGCCGCCAGCTGTGCATGCTGTGTGGTTTGAATTTCATTCTTTGGCAAGACTAAAACATGCATCAGTGTTAATGATGCCTTTGTCAAGAATACGCAGCAATCCTTTTGACCCAGGCAGGTTAAGCTATAGCCATGGATGATAAAAAGCCCTCTGTGTGCAGTTTCCTGAGCAGCTGAGGCTTGTGCTGAGGATGTTTGAGTTCGGCCATCCTTATATCCCCCACGGGCCCGGCCTGACCATGTCTTTCGGTTGTCCAGCGTTGGCGTCCCAGCTGGCATGGGGCTTGTCTTCGCACCCTCCGGCACTGCAGCCCTCCCATACCGCCAAGAGCCAAACACCTTCTGCGCCCATCAGGTAGCCAAAAGCCGTCGTTGTACATGAGCACCCCAACTCCTTGGAGGGGGAGGGGGTGTTGCGTAGAGGCAGAGATGTGTTGGCGACTTATTGCAGGAGTGTCAGCATTGCTGACTTTCATGAACTCTATAGAAATTCCTTATTTCCAGAGCAGTAAAAGATTTTGGAATTGCAAGAATTCTTGAGCAAGCTTGGTATCCAATCAGGCTGCAGTCGGGATGCACGCAGGTCGCTGGTTTGTTTCGGCTTCAGAATCTACGGAGCTTTAGAGCCACATTAGAAAGACGAGAATTCCAGTCGAAAGAAGACGGATCATTGCTAAAAAAAATCACACCGCTCAGTTTGTTTGTTTGTTTGTTTTCAGATTAGTTACTTAGCAAAAGTACACTCGATTGAACGTGACTTGTTGGGGTTCTTCCAATCTTTTGTTGGGTCTTCGAAAAAAGCTGTCTCAAAGGAGACCATTCTTTTTACCTGCCAAATATGAATGAACATCGATGTTCTGCATGAAAGCGATCCCTTACTTGTGCCGAATCATGGCCCGATTGTCGACGTGCACGCCAATGGCCCCTTGGACTCAGCTGATCCTAGCTTTTATATGCCTTTATCATCTATCCATCTTCTCGAATACACGCAATAGTGTTAGAGTGTCAGCGCTTTAGCCGGCACGCCTGCGAACAAGCCTCTCTCTTAGCTGCACTACGACGACAAGCCCGCACCGTCGGACAGAGGGATCCCCTTCTGTGCGAGTGTGTCGCCGAGTCGCCCAACCCAGGAAGCTGCACCGCAGCTGCCAAGCCCTGTACCGCGGAGGCGCGGTTCTTGCACATGCCAGGAGGTCCACCGAATTCTGAGTTTTGCAGCCTCAACGAAACCCTTTTTGCACACCTCCCTGCATAAACTCTACATATTATGTCCCTTCACAGCCTGACCCTCGAGCCTCAGAGTTCAGGAGGTCGCGCTGCAGCCACCACCACCAAGGCGCGAGCCTTTGAACCATTGCTACCTGCTTTACCTTCCTTCGCGGAATACGTTGTCATGTTCGGGTGCAAGGGTCGACTGCGTGCGCCAATGTTTTTTGCGACAGGTGGTTGGCAAAGTTCCTCTTGCCATATCCCTACGCTCTCCTGCCGGATGATCAGACTGAGATCCACTGCAGTAGCTGATCAAAGCAGTGCACGGAACTCGACCGCCATTCAGGGCCCGCCATGCGAAGAAAAGCTGAATGCATAGCCGGAGTCTGGGGAGGCCGGGGCAATCGTCGGCAGGCAGGTCTTTCCATGCCAGATAAGTCTTGACGAAGCGGTCATTTTCAGAGTCGATCTGTTCAGTGCGACATATAAAGCGTGATGCAGCATAATTTGGAAACGTAGAAAGGTCGATCCCTTTTGCGGTTCTGGACTCGCTTGCTCGTGCGCATCTCAAGGGCATGGGAAACCCGACTTATTGAATGAGGCGGCCAGACTCAGCTATACTTCGCTTTCCCGCAAGTTAGCTTCAGGTAGACCTCAGCAGCCAAGGTTAAACTCCGTTCTTTCATAGACTAGAATGCTGGAGCGCCGTTCGCCTGCGCTCGAGACATGCATCTGCTGAGAGCCAAGCTGCGCACTCAGAATCCCGACACGGCCTCATTCTTTTCCAGGTTTTTGGGAGGCCTTTGCCAGAAAAGCACCAAAACTCAACTCAGCAAGTCCACCCAAGTGCGAAGATAAACCCCCATAAACCGCAAGTCTTGTTGAAGGGGGCGAGTTCGACAGAGGGCTTGAGTAGAATTTCCAAAAGGTGCTTGAAGGTGTTACAGTAGGAAGGGCCTTACAGCATGGCATAGCCCTATAGCCTGCCACTTCCAGGCTATCCAGGCTTGCCTTTGTCATCTTACCTGTCTTACCTCGCGTGGCCCACCCCATTTCGTCCTCAAACGGCTGTGCCTCAGAACCCAAAATGAGGAGAGCGGTGAGCATCCCTAGAATTCCTCCATATTCAGCGTGCGTCGCAACAGCTTCGCTTCTCAGATTTCTCAGAGTGCTTCGATCTGATTCGATTTGATTCCCGTTGCCTTTTGTTTGTCTTCTCACCTGCAGAGCGAGGCCTACCGCCCGGCATGGAACTGAGACATCTGTGCAAGCAACAGTTTGGGGTTTAGGGTTTAGGGCTAGGGTTTAGGGCTTAGGGCTGAGGGCTCAGAGTTTAGGGTTTAGGGTTTAGGGTTTGGGGTTTAGGTGGGAAGATCGGATAATGTGAGAAAAGTTGGCCTGCAGCTTGCAAGAAGCCCCAGTTTTCAGTTCGATGGTAGTTCATGATAGTGGCTTGGAAGCCTCTCCTTGGCATCGGAGCTCCGGTCCGGCGCGGGGGCTTTAGTAATTTAGAGATGTGTAGGGCTTGAGAATGCTTGAGAGCTTCACTGGTGCGAGTGACCCTCTCACACTGCTCACATCCCTTCTTCACTTCTCACACCTCCGCAGGCCACGAAGCGCCATGCGCCCGGTGCTAACCCTCAGTCCGTGCGCTGGTGCTTTGTTTTCTTCTGTGGTGACCAGGGGGGGTGTTTTTTCTAGTGTGTGTGTGTGAGAGAGAATTAAGTGGTCTTGTCCCAACGTTAGGATGTGGCCCGGAGTCTTTGAGGCCCGCAATTCTCCAACACGCTGGCTCTTTTCTGTAAGAGTTTGGAAGTCTTTCTCTGGCCACTGAGGCATCGGACCCACTGGAGCTCACAGCCTCCAATGCTAGCGAATTCCCAATCCCTATAGATGCTCGACCCCAACCTTGATACCCACCGAATGCACAACCGTGACCCCTTGATAATGCAGAGAGGCAGCAGATCCGGATGATATGGAGGACCTAGCTGGGGCAGCTATAGGGCACGAAGCCCGACAGCTGAAATGAAAAGCTATACCATGCTGAGAGTATGCTGACCATGCTCAGCTTGTCAACATGACCACCCTGTTCCTGCACCGTCTCGTCCATTGAAAAACATGGTTTTTTCAATTGCGGCATGAGCGATATTCGATTGCGTTTTTTGGGTTTTTGTTCAAAGCATGGTATAGCTCCGTACAGCTCCAGAACTTTGGGTCCCGTCCGCAAGCCCGAATCCGGCTCTATCAATATCATGATCAAAGATGCCCGACAACTCAAGAGTCATCTCTGATTCGGAGGGCCCAGGGCCAAGATATCGGACGCATGTTTCCTTTGAGTTCTACAGGTATATATAATATGATTATAGTATACAATTCAGTATAAACGAGAAAGCATACAAGTTACGTAAGTTCTACAGAGGACCTCCTGCGGCACGTCCGCCGTGGTGTCGAGGCAGGGTCGCTCGGGGAGTTTGTTTCGAGTTAAATAGGAAGCACTTCGTCCTGTACGTTCAGTTTGTGACCCGTGTTCCTGCCGTTCACATGAAGCGAGTACGTTGGTGTGGCGGTGGAACTTACAACAAGAAAAGGGCATCCGAAAGATTGAATTGTTTTCGGTCTTCTAGGTTCATTTTCGGTCTTCTAGGTTCAAGCGTTTACTTGAGCACGTGAAGAACATTGTTCTTTTCAGGTTGATGCATGGGCAGGAAAGTCCACTGAATCACAGCCCGAATTTACTCGGTCCCCATCCTCTTCCCTTCACAACACACGCCCACCCACACCCCCCCCACACTGCCACAACCACACCCCCACACCCCCACAGCCCCACAGCCCCACACACCCCACACACCCCACACACCCCACACACACACCCCACACACCCCACACACACACACACACACACACACACACACACCACACACACCACACACACCACACACACAACACACACCACACACACCACACACACCACACACACCACACACACCACACACACCACACACACCACACACACCACACACACCACACACACCACACACACCACACACACCACACACACCACACACACCACACACACCACACACACCACACACACCACACACACCACACACACCACACACACCACACACACCACACACACCACACACACCACACACACCACACACACCACACACACCACACACACCACACACACCACACACACCACACCCAGCACGCGCAGCACGCGCAGCACGCGCACCACGCGCACCACGCGCACCACGCGCACCCCGCGCACCACGCGCACCACGCGCACCCCGCGCACCACGCGCACCACGCGCGCCACGCACACCACGCGCACCATGCGCACCATGCGCACCACGCGCACGCACGCGCACACGCACGCGCACACGCACACGAACACACGCGCACGCACACGCACAAGCACACCCACACCCACACCCACACGCACACCCACACCCACAGGCTCACGCACACGCACACGCACACGCACACGCACACGCACACGCAAACGCAAACGCACACGCACACGCCACACCGCACACGCACACGCACCCCCACACTATTCACACACACACACACACCAGACACACAGACACACACACACACACAGAGAACACACACACCCCACAGAGATACACACACCCACACCACAGAGACCGAGACACACAGAGACACACACACACAGCACACACCCAACACACCAACACACACACACACACAGACAGACACGCACACAAGCACACACTCACACACACCACACACACACCACAAAACACACAAGGCACGCACACCACAACACCACACACACACACACACACAAACACACAACCACCAACCACACACACACACACACACACACACAACCACACGGCGCAAACAAAACACACAACCACCACCGCACACACACGCACACAAACACACAACCACACCACACATCCTCCAAACACACACAACCACACACCCAACAACACACACTTCACCAACACACAA